GGGGGGGGGGGGGGGGCGCAACAGCGGTAATTAAAGTTTCAAAGTCTCAATGCCGATGTGTTTATGTGGATTCAAAAGTCGTAAATAATCTACAAAATGGAGGAGACCGATCTGATCGGAGCAACTGTGACAAATAATCCAACTGAAACCGGCATGGACAATGACTATGTTTTAAAAATGCGCTTATCCAGAAAAGCCCGGTTTGGACACTTTACGGGCAGAAGAAACATTTCTATTAAAGAAAGAATTATACACTTCTGTCTTTTTATGCCTTTAATAGCTACTAACTTGAATTGTTATTCAAATTAATTAATCAATTATTTTTTGACAATCATGTATTGCGTTACAATTATGTGTAAAAAATAAATAAATAAAAAATAAAATAAAAAAAGGCACGCCCCCCAGGTTGGTAACCACTGCTCTAAGTTGTTAATTTGAAAAGTGAAATAGTTGCGTAATATCTAATCAATAATAAATGAAGTTCCAACCCTGACTTTAATCTCACCTTCGCACAGTGAATATGGGATTGTTGGTTTCGAAAGTTACAGCTATGGTAGTACACAGCTGCCAATAGTGATGTCGAAAAGGTGTATGATTTTTCGTGTCCGAAGCTATCCAATCTTCCAACAAACACTTCTGTTGAATATACTGGCAATTAAGAAGGCAATACATTTGCAAGGTTTAGAGGAGGTATAATATAAATATGTGACATTAGAAAGTTTAATTCTATTCTAATTTTAAGTCATTTATAAAACTTTTTTGACGTTTGAGTCCCTACTACCTTTTATTTTGAAGAAGAGTTGCATTCTTTAGCAATAGTGTCTATAAGCTACGCTCATCCACGCTTATCCAAAATATTTTTGTTTTTGCATACTGACATCTTTAACATGTTGAATTGTGTCACAGAACAAACTCCAAATCCTGAAAAAATATATCTAGTGTGGAGGGACACAAGATAGTATAACATACTATAGTAGGTGCATCCACTTGCAGTAACCCAACGTTATACCCAAGCACAGTCACTTTTAAGTGTGTGTCTTTATTTGTTTTGGACTGTGTCTTTCCTTTACACCGAGTGTTATGACCTGAATTGTTATGTTTTATATGTCAAGTCAGAATTTAAAAAAGCATTTCAGTGCTGCTGCCTCTTGAATACTAGGTATTAACATTTGGCCTTCTTCTGCTTCCCATCCTCCACCTTCCTTTGTTTGAACTTCAACGCATACAGCTCCAGACTTTCACCCACTTTGTGGCTCAGAGGTAGTTTATTAATTGAGTTATAATGGCTGCCTGTGCCTCACTCTCATATTCTCTCATATTCTATGTCAAAGGAAGTTTCTAATGAGCTGCAGAGATGCCAGTCTGCAGAGAGGAGGAGGGTGTTGTACTGTATTTGCACATACACTATTCTTACTCTGTCTGTCTGTTTTTCTTTATTTAGATGTGGTGTTGAGCGTATTCCTGTGCGTGTGTGTGGTTGAGTGTTACTAAGAATGAATTTAATGTGAGTCTCTCGGGCGCAGCAGTCTCCAGACTGTCCCCGGTGAGCACCGAGGGCTCTGATCCTTTCTGCAAGCCTGCTTTTGTGTAGACAGACTGCTGCCTCTCAGGACACGCGCACACACACATGCAAGACTGATGAAAGAAGGAGACACTTCAGCAAATGATAAAAAGGCAAAAAGTCCTGCGCAGATATTGGGGAATTAAGGTTTTTGGCTAAAATGTTTGTTAATGAAAACGTATATATCAAGTTAAGCCAATTTTATCTATATACTCAATATAACAAACGCACATTTGTCTCATGTGGCTTTACAATCTGAAAACCATACCACACCATCTGTGCAAAAACACCTTCAACAGATAATTAAATGAAAGAACCTTAAGGAAGAGCAACAGAAGAGAGATCCCTTTCCCAGGATCGACAGATGTGTAAAAGATGTATGTCTCTGGAAAAAAACAAGCTACCAAAAATCCATGTGACAGTGCTAACATAATGTAAAGCTAAATCCTGAGCAACTGAACCTCCTCCTATCTGGACTATAATTATTTAATTCTGAAGTTAAAGGGATCTCAACTTTACTTAGCTAACCCTTTTCATACTCACTTCATGTATGTGCCTTAAGAGTTTAGAGCCATGCTAGCAGCTATGTTAGCTGTCATGCTTTGAGTTAAATGCTAATGTCAGCATGCTAACATGCTTATAATAAAAAACCAAGCAATGTTTACTATGTTTACATACAGCGCTAACAAAATGTATAGCTACATTTTGAGCCACTAAACCTCCTTCTGAACATAGGCCTATCTGGACTTTAATAATCAAATAAGTAAAGTTAAACTTAACTTCACTTAGTTAACACTTGATCAACTACATAACCACTGTTTTGGCTCTCCATACCTCATATAATTCCATTACTCTTTATTAAAAAAAAAATTAAACTAAAGGTTTGGAGCTTGCCTTCTAAGTTTAGCATGATAGCACACACAACCAATGCATCACCACATGCTAATTGTATCCAATATTCTGGCATTTAATTGAATAATTACTCAGATAAGCACAATATAAAGTAACTAATAGATTAATTCAAAGATCCCTGAATAACTGCCAGTGCTTTACGTTATTTCCTTGGAGGATTTATATCTGTTTGTTTAAAAAATAAATGTATTTATATTTCCTACAGTCAATCTAATGAAAACAGCCAAAACCAATAATATATTTAGTCAACTCTCAATATTTCCGGTCTGTGGTTGCATCCCAAAGGCCATTGGCTCCCACTGAAGACGTTTGTCTTTAAAAACACCTCACAGATATATAGGTTGTGTTTACAAAGGCTCATTTATACCCTAAACAGCTGACATTGTAGTTTTTATAAAACTTTACCCAAGCGAAATAAATAATGTGTTTGTTGTGGTTGTATTTGTCTGCCACTTGCCTCAGACACAAAGGGAATATCCAAAATATAATAAAAGCAACTTGCACCCAACAATGGAGATCTGTGGCACAGAGGAATAAGATATTCATTCTTTGATTCAAGCACAATACTTGCTAGTATTTTCAATGTTGGTTTTAGTCTTTTCATTCTTCTCATGTGAATACCACCAGCTGTATCCTTCAACAGGGACTTCAAAGGACTTGTCTCTTTGCGTCTCTGATCTGTCACGTCTGTCTTCTCCGTATGTCTCCTTCACACTCTTTCCTTCAAGTACAAATATGAAGGTTTGTGAGCAGCGTGGGGGGAATCAGTTTGACTTCACTAAGCGTCACGATAGACTAAAACTGTGTGTGTGTGTGTGTGTGTGTGTGTGTGTGTGTGTGTGTGTGTGTGTGTGTGTGTGTGTGTGTGTGTGTGTGTGTGTGTGTGTGTGTGTGTGTGGGTGTTTTCTGCAGGTGTCCATTGCGACAGTGTTTGTGAGGAGGGACGCTGGGGGCCAAACTGCTCCTACAGCTGCACCTGTGAGAACGGAGGCTCCTGCTCCCCGGAGGACGGCACCTGTGTGTGCGCTCCGGGCTACCGTGGCACCAACTGCAGAAGGGGTAAGAGACATTTTGGACACTCTCATTTCCCCCACATATACTGGGCTTTCACTATCGTAGCTGCTGGACAGTGGAGGAGGGACTTATGAAAGTGAAAAAACAACATAAACAACTATACTACAGTTGGAAAATGTAAATCCTTAAGAGAGCTTAAAAAAATAAACTAGTATTTAAATACATTTTTCACATTAAAGTCTGTGAAGAAGGGCGCCTGTCAGACTATACCCGCCTCATGTTCATCAATAAGGAAAACCGACAAAATGATGAAGTAATCATTTCCCTTTATTAGAGTCATTAGAATATTATATGCTCAATTACAGGTAGAGAAATCTTAAACACTAAAATGACGTCTAAATGTAATGTGTCACTGAGCTGAAAAAAGCATTTTCCAGAGTTTGAAGCTTCTACACTTTTAAGATATTCCTGCTCAATTAAATGTCATACTAATGGTCCCATCTGACAGGGAATTTGGTTAAAGGGCGTCTTATGATCAAAAGCTTGACGGTTATTAAGTAAAAATTGCAGATGCTCCTTTTGTATTGAAATGTGATTATGTGTCCAGTATCTGCCAAATTCTCAGATGTCAAACGTTTATGATTTGTAAAAGTTTGAAGCCTAAATTGTTAACATTAATGTTTTCTCGCTTGCATTCTTCTTTATCTCGCCTTTAATGATGGGTTGTTGCTTGTATGTTGTTACGTTATCACCGTCTGTAGGTCATTGAAAAAGAATAGAGCCAGTGGCAGGATTGTTTATCACATGACCCAAACTTTCACTAGAACAAAACATAAAACCAACGTGAAAATGTGTTTCATAGTGCCGATAGTGCTCACAAACCCTCTTTTTATATTGCAAGATCCTAATCTGCAATACAACCACCAATTGCAGCCAACTGATTAACAGCTGAGAAATAAAATGTTTTAGAGAAAAGCGAGAAATCCTCCCAAATTGGTTAATAAAGTACCTAAAAACAGTTGTAACTAACAAACATGCTTAAAAAAAACCTGTAATCATTAAGCTTCAACATTAAGAATCTCTTTGAGAAATGTTTATCTCTCTTCATTCTTTTTTATTAGCAAAGATTGAATGGAAAACATTTAGGTTGGTCACGTCCTTGACCTAAAGAAAACATAAACATTAACATAAAGAAAACTATTATTTAATTTTTGCATTTAGATCGACTGAATTTATCACAAATTAAACAGAAATTGACAAAAAAGGACATCTTCTAGCATATTTCCCATCTCCATGTTATTTATAATATTTTATGGGTGGATAATGCAGTAGAAATTCTTTGTTTTCAGATAAGTCACCGTGTTTTTTCAGCAACCAGCAAGAGCCTAGTGAGAAACGAATGCGTCATCAGGTCTAAAAAGGGTTTATGTTAAATCTGAAGTATTCGGGGACCATAAATCAACGATTGTAGAATCTGCTTAAAATAGAGCCTACCTGTTGATGTTGCTAGCAGTGAGCTGTTCTGCTGATACGTACACAACACACACCAGTTTCTCATCAGCCTCTCTCTGCATCAGATAGATACTTGTAAGGGCTCTGGGTTCACAGTTTAGGCAATTATCTTAATTAGGAAAATCCTGTAGTGTGAGGGAGGCGGTGGACCAGCCTGCACCGGCTTGTCTGACCACTTAGAGTAACATCAATTAAAACAAATTAAAGGCCTCAAGAGGATACACGGCAGAAGTGAAAACAAAGAAAAGCTAACTCTGCCAACAGGTTGACAGCGGAGAGGAGACAGCAGCCATGTTTTCACACACACACACACACACACACACACACGCACGCACGCACGCACGCACGCACACACACACACACACAAATATACAGATATGGTGGACAGTAATAAGCTTTCACATATGTGGGGTTTAGTTTAAATTGAGACTAGGTGGAGCATGAAATCAATATATAAAATGACCAAAGAACTAATCAGCGAACTAATCAGAAGTTCTCTTTACACTCTGGAATTGACTTTTCTCTCACACACATACATAGACATCTTTGTAACAGTGGTGTGTGTGTTTTCCTGCAGCCTGTTCCCCTGGTTTCTACGGACATCGTTGCAGTCAGTCGTGTCCTCAGTGTATCCATAGCGACGGGGCGTGCCACCATGTCACCGGCCACTGTGAATGTCTCTCTGGCTTCTTCGGCTCCCTCTGTAATCAAGGTCAGTCTAGTTTTACATTTGTGTATCATCCCAACAAAGATTACCCTGTGTCTGTTTAAAGCTGGAGTACAGAGCTTATGTCCTCTCGCCCTCTGGCAGTGTGAGAAATCACTCTACAGGAGAGATCATAATAAAGAGCAGCAGATAGGAGCACGGCTAACACTATTTTTCTGAAGTGGATGATTCAGATAAAAACAAAGTGATCAGAGGAAGTATTAAAGTAAAAGAGCTTTTCACTGGAATTCTTGAAAAGAGCGGGGCAGATGCAGTGAGCTCACCTGGAGGCACCCATGCACCACAGACACCAGACAACAAATATTTAATGTTCTGCAAAACACAGAAAGCTTTCCCTGACGGCAATAGGCTTTGTTGCTCAGCATCATCATGGCCAGGGCTTAAATGTAACAGTCTTTCATTTGTATGTAAAAGTCCTGCACTTGTTACATTGTTGTATTCATGCAATTAGAAAGAGGATGTTTTTCACTCCTCATTAATACAAAAAATGATAGAATTAACCTTGATTGAATGAAAATAGTTAAATATTTGTAATAAAAATGTGCACGATATGGGCAGTCGTGCAGCTCTCTTGTTACAATTAGCAGCCCATATATCTCTGCTTGGTCCCCATGCAGAGGACCCGGGTTCAAATCCGTCTGGGACCATTTGCAGCGTCTCATGCCCTCCCTGTTTAGTTTAGTATGGAACTTTAATAATTGTGTGGGTTTTTGAGAGGAAGATTATAAAGAAAAGCTGGCTAAGATATCCTTGATTCTGGTTTAGGCAAAGCTTCAAAAACTCTAAAACCTACATTTCCCAGAATGCAATTCTGATAGTGTCTTTCATTATAGGAAATAGGAAATCCCTTGTTTCTTTGTCTAAAGAACCCTGCATGGACTGGTTATTAAAAGGGTTTAAAAGCATTGGTACGACACCACTGTGACACACTTCCACCCACATCAAAATGTACCCAAAGTATTTGACCGACTGTTGCCACCGTATTTTTAGACCCATCTCAAACAATGTCACATGTGATAAGCCTGTTAGATGGCTGTGTGGGTCTGTGTGAGTGACAGAGTATAAGAACATAAGAGTCAGAGATGCCCTGTTCTGGTCAAGCTCCAAAAACAATCAATCTTACATTTCCCAGAATGCACTTCTGATAGCGTCTTTAATAATGGTATCCTTTGCTGATAGATGCCCGAATCTTTAAACCTCTAACTTTTTGCTGTAATGTAACAATTCTATTTGTAGTCTCCAACCCCAAAAGACTGTGAGACACTTCCACCCAAAACAAATTGACAAAGGATTTGACAGATTGTGGCCAGTGTATATTTAGACCCATCTCACACAGTGCATGGAATAAGCATGTCAGATGGTTTCATGCTGTGTGTCAGCATAGGCTCCATACCGATATTATTATCATTTGGTTCTTGCGTCAATAGAATTCCCAGGAAGTTGCTGCTAGATTTAACTTCATTTGACGCTGTTTCGTATAGTTTCGTAGGTTTTTTGGAACCAGACAGAAAACAGCTGCTATACTGTTTCAGATTCTTGATATCCCCATTCAAACAACCTATTTTTTTAGTAAAACGCTTGAATCTCTTATTAACTTTAGGCTAGTTTTAAAGCCCTGCACACAAAGCAAAGCCCTTGAATGTCTGCGTTTGATTAGAAGAGTAAGTAATGAAAGAGAAATCGAAACCGTTTAGCTCATTCTTTGTCCCCCTTTGAACAACTTCTTGCACCTCTTACTTTTATCGGAATAATCTTTTTGTCGGCTCCTCCTGTACATCATTATTTCAGTATGCTTCGGCTCACGCAGGTTAACCAGGTGTTAATTCTCCTACGAAGGCAGTTGGCCCAGGATCCGTTGCCAAGTCGAATTTTAAATAGAGGCGGTGCAGTAGTATGCTGTGAAATATTCATCATCATTAAACATGAAGACGGCCTTAGTCATGCCCTGTCCTACATTAGCCATTCTGCTGGCCAATGCATTTTTGAGCAGGCCCATAGATAACTGGGCGAGCCTTGATAATTCAGACGTCTGGCGCGGGGGCTTCTAACCGCCTGAAGAGCCAGTCCTGCACCATCCTTGTCCTCTAGACGTGTGAGAGACTTTGGTACCAGCTAATGATGTTATTGACTGGAGTGAAATGAGACAAAATGGGTTTTCTCTGCTTTAATCAAGAGATCACATTTCTTTTTTAAGTGGAAACTGTCCAAAATGTAACTTTTGTATAAAAGATATATCCTCATAAGAACAATACATTGTTCTCTGTCTCATCCGAACCACCAACATAAACCTTAAAGAGGCCCTCTTGTGCTTTTTGGGGTTTCCCTTTCCTGGTGTTTTTGTGCATGTGAATGGTCTCCAAAGGCTAAAATCCCAAAGTTCCCTCCAGAGGAAGTTTCTCTCCCATTATCAGATTTATTTTTCAAAAACCTACTTCTTCGGTGGCTATAACGGCAGCAATGAAACACACAATATATTTTACCCTAAACCACATGAAATAATGGCTTCATATCTGCATATAACCCTTATTAGTGGTACCCGTTCAAACCATGAACACTTCCTTATCTGTAAATTATATTTGACATATGGTTCGGTGTTGTTAGTTTATTCTATTTGAATATAATGTCCTCCTTCTATACTCCTTGAGAAATATTGTATTAGTTTAATGGTTTTTCAATCAATATTAAGGTGCAAATTCTATCTAAAGAAATCATACTAGAAGGTTGTTTCCTGGCCAAAGCAAGGTGCCTCCGAATACAACATCTTTGAATACAGTGTAAAAAACGAACACAATGCTGCTTCAATGTTATAACTGTAGGCTGATGGAGATTTATTATATAGAACCATTACCTGTATGTCAGATATGCACTCACTGCCACATATTCTGTAATAAGTGCAGCGACACATCATGCCGTAATGGCCATAGCACATTGGATTTTAAAGTTGATGGATGATTGATTGATGGCTTTCTTCCTCGATCTTTACCACCTGTAGAGTAAAACATTTAAACATTTAAAACATTTAAAGCTTGGCACTGGCCATCTGTCTAACGCTGTCAGAATCATTTGATCCAAGACTTGGACCAGCTGTGAAGTTATTTAGAGACCTGTGGACCATGCTCCATGATGGCGCTCCATTGGTTCTAACAAAAGCAGATTACCAAGCACATACGCTGAAAACAATTTTCGGGCTTCGAAAGGCTTCCGTGTTTTGGGTGCATTACAGTCTTTAAAGTTATTACATTACAGTTTTGCCTGAGCTGACTGACTTCCTGCTGCACACATGAATGCCGTGAAATAATTTCACTTTAGCGGAAACCTTCTTAGCTCATTAGCTCCCCTAGCTTGTAGCTCTTCAAGATCTTTTTATTTAAATCAATTTCTTACTTTTTTTCAACACAGAGTCCTTTTGAAGTGTTTTTATGATAATGAGTAATTTGTATCGACTGAACTGCTGTTCCGACTCACCATTCGTCTTCATTTTTGTCTTTATCTTGTTTTCACAACTTTCTATAGGCAATATTATCCAGAACTCACCATGTTACTTTAGCTAAGTTTTTGCTTACGGTCTTCGATTTACTTAATTTGATCTTTAAACTAACAATTATTCTATATAACATTTGCACCAATTGAACGTATACATCCCTCCAAAAGTTGTCAAAAATATTTAGCTTTGGACCAACGTTTTGTCCACACTTGATGACATCACCAGAAACTGAAGCTAATTGTGTGCTCAGTGAACAGAAGCTCATCAGGGATCCGCAGAACGGTCCCTCTCCTGCTAATTATTTTAGCTAAACTTGGTTTTATTCATGTGCGTATATGTACGTTTATTCCTTTGATCCAAACTTTACAGACACTAGTCATACATTGGGTACTGTTACATAAGTTTAGGGACATCATTAAAGCTTTCATAGTGATCTTTATTGCTCTGATATTTCCGGGTAAAGAATTCCCTCCTGGGTTTTATTATTCCAGTAAAAATAAATATCCATGGCTCGCTAATTGCTATCATAAACATAGACACGAGAACCTGTTAATAAAGTCTATATATTATGTGTAACAGGTAGAAATTGTAGTAAAATGCAAATGAGCGAAGAACAGAAATGTAATATCATGAATATCTATATAGCTCATGTATGTATAATTGATCTTAACTAAATATTAACATGAGGAAGTAGCACACATTCAGGAAATTGTAATGCATCTTTAGTGTTTAATGTAGATTACCAAAGCATATGCTGCATCTTTATTTTTTTCCTAATTATGGAAATACTCATTAAACATTTAAATGTTTAGTGTTAGGTTACGTCAGGTTATTTTAACATTTTAAGAATGTTGAACATTTCACATGATAGTTCCAAAGCCTCTTTCTCTCCTTCCCTCAGAATAACACCTGTGAGCTTATATGTATATATATATTTATATATATATATATATATATACATATATATATATATATATATGCTAATAAAATGTACTTTAATTTAATAAACTTACAAATGTAAGTTAAACCCAAAGTCTACATTGATGTATAACATTAAGTAGTGGGAGTATGTTCTCTCATTTTAATTGGCAATTTTCCAAAAACCCCAGAGCAGGCTGACAAATGACCAGGTTTGCCTAACGCTAACGTCATTTAGAGATCTGAATATAAAATAAAGTTGAATTATTACATCCTTAAGCATCCAGGATGTGCATTCCCTAAAATGATTAACTATAAAACAATCTTCCTCCAGCTTCTTTTTATGCACGTGGCATGATAACATGTTTCTCGACCTTGTACTATTTTCTGCAGAGACGCTTATCACATTAGAAACAATCAGCAGAGATTATTAAATTAAGACTGTTTAGTATAAGGACGTATGTTTCAAAGCAATTTGCAATCAGGCAGCGAATTGAAAACACACATTTCTCATTGTAAGAGAAGGTCAGTTATTAATGCTTCCTGTTGAATGAGTGTGGAACTTCTGAAAAGAGAC